GTGCTGGACTGACCATGTAGCTAAAAACACAAGCAGTCCAGCTGCATTCAAAGCAGTGAGTGACATTTGCACACCACAAACATAATGGAGACGACAGTCCATTGACCCCACCTACCTCCAAAAGAAAATATAAAGATACTTTAATTTCACTAACATCATCTTTAAGTCGCTTCAATCATCAAATGTCGCTCTGGGACTGGCCCTGCTCCCGGTGTAGTGTAACCTGACCATTAGCAAAGAAATGGATGCTATTTACGGCATCAAGATCTGAGGTAAATAAATAAATAAATGCACAGTTACGCGCCACAAAATGGGGCCAAGGAGAAAAAAGGCCGTTAGAAATCCATCAGAATGTCATTTTGTGCGACTCTGCCTCCCCCTCTCTGCCCATCCAGATGGGTATCAGCTCATTGCAAAACCTCACTCTCATTAACCTGTTCGTAGGTTGCAAAGAGAGAAAGTTGTATTTTTCACCTTCTATATCAACTCCCCCTGCCTATAGACACCCACTCACCCCCGCCTCCCCCTCCGTCTTCTTCCCCTACTTTTGGTCTGAGTAAGTTCCACAAAAGATAATTTTCCTTTTCAAATTACAGCAGGCCTTTTCACTGACCCGAGGGCATTGTGATAATGCAGTGTGGGAGCAGAGAGTGTCTCTGATGAGGGGTGATAGCAAATGCACTGGCCAGCACTAATGTCTTGTCAACGCTGAACTTGGACATGAGCACCTGCACTGCCTCAGATTTGCTGAGCATGGCAGCTCAGTCATTTTTCTCCACAGCATTTCTGGCCACAGAAATACTCAGTATGATTAGCTGACACTTCATCACACACAGAACTTGTTGGTGCATGTGAAGGTACAGTATGTGTTGTTGTAAATAAGCAGAAAAAAAAAACAACTTTGGATAGGAAGCCACAACAGGATGTGTGAATGACTTGCCGAAGCAGCTTGCGGGCTGTCGTGATTCATGCGCTAATCTCCTCACAGTCCAGTCAGGCATGAGAAACACAGAGAGGAGAAGGTGTCAGGTACAGCGAGGAATACTTTGATATTAGAATTCAAGGCATCTACGTCTTGCCTTGAGCAGGATAATCCCATTATGCCTCAGGTCACAGCAGTGCACATAGAGAGAGAGGCACAACTCACTTCAAAATAAACTGCTTATGGTTGACGAGAATAACACAAACAGCCGTCAGAAATAACATCAAACTCCGACCCAAACTGAATTAGAACATCCAATTTAGGGACGAAAAATACCCCAGATATTGAGAAGACAGAATAACACAATTAGATTATACAAAAGCGGGAAAGTTTTTTCCAGCCAGACTTTTACAGTTCATCCTGGGTGTTTTCAAGATTGAGCAGTTTTTCATTACAGTCTGTCAGCTTTCGTTATGAAATGAGAAAATCTAATTTTGCGTGGTGTAACTGACAGTTTTTCAGACTAATTCATCCTGTCAAGATAAAGCCCTGGCAAACCCGCCAGATGGTGTTTGTGTAACTGAGAGCTTTGTTTTCGGTGCGCACATTTCGTAAAGAGCAAGACCCTTCTTGATTTAGATCTAAGTATGTGTTGTGTTCTGTTTCCGTTTTTCTTCCGTAGCAGGAAAATTGTCTCTACCAATCTCTGATTAATATCTTGTTGCACTTAAATGAACCTAAAAAATAAATGTTTGTTATTGCTCTTCAATGTATATTCCCTTAATTTGAGATATTCTTCAACAAATAAAAAAAGAGAAATACTAGAAATAGAAAGCTGAAACTGAGATATGGCCCAACTGTAATTTTAGTATAATAATAACCCTCCATTAAAAAAATAGGACTGGTGAGTCATTGTCATCCTCTTCCAATAAGATGTGTGCACTTCCCTGACTACAGCTAGAAAATTCCATTTCCCTAATATTATTTTCTATTTCAGATGGCTGACCAGGAAATTTATTCCGGTGGGGGGGGGGGTTAGGGGCGGTGGGAGGATTTCAATCAACAGTTTCAGAAGCATCAGTCTGTAAAACCTGCAATGAAACCAGCTATATATAAGCTAATAACCTACACATTATCACCCACCTCAAAGAATTTCATTAGTAGAAGTTACACGAGAGAAGTTTAATGTGCAGGATGATTTAAATGCAGTCAGAGTTTTTTTTTTCCTTCCTGATAGGAACAAAATTGAGGGTAAATTCTGAATAATCTGACTGGTAACATTTAAAGTACATTTGGCACTTGTTGTTACTGGTTTTAAAGGAATCGTTCGATTTTTTTAGGAATACATTTATTACATTCCTTGCAGAGAGTTAGATGAGAAGATTGATACCAGTCACATGTCAGCACAGTTAATATGAAGCTACCTCTAGCATTCGGTTAGCTTAGCAGAGCTAATATACTAGACTACTTCTTGGCTGGGAGCAGTCACTTCCCAGAGTCTTTCTGCTCTGGGTTTAGTTCATACTAAACAAACAAGATATAATGTGCTAATTACTGAGCTTTAGAGGTGCTAGTAGGCAGATTTTGTTTCAGATAGAGAGAACTGTGCTAGCTGTTTTCTCCTTTTTTTTTACTTTTTGTGCTAAGCTAAGCTAATAGTTGCTGGCTTCAGGGTCATGGAACTACTTACCTTATAAAAAAAGTAAATAAACTACATAGTCAGTGATCATAAATCTTTAAACTGAACTGAACAAAATGATTCAAATCAACAAAATTATTTGTATTTTCCACCATTAAGTGATTTTCTTATCTAACTCAACAAGACACCAAATAAATATATTTCCCAAAATGTTCAACCACCACGTTAAACATCATTATCAGTCAAACCTGAGCTTACAGTGACAGAGGACATGGCTGGAGTGAGGATCTCAGTGGTTATGGGTGACTTATCTACAGTAGCTATGTGATCCGTGACCACTGTCGAACTCATCCCATGTGCATCCTGCTCGACTCACTTTACTGCAGATAATGAAACACCAAAGTCAATGCCAGTACACAGAACAGTCAAACAGCCAGCCCTCAGATCCTCAATGCGGTTTTCCAAACACACAGAATACATTTCCATTCAACTTTTGTGAAGGTCTTTTATGGCAGAGCAACAAAACCCAGAGGAGCTATGGTATGAAAAGATCTTTCATTATTAATAGAATATTAGCCCACATAAAGGTGAATGACTGAGGGATTGTGTTTCAACACTGCAGGGGCTGTAAAGTGCACAGAGGTTAATTCTCTGATCCAAGGGTAGATTTGTATCATTGTTTGTAGATAGAAAGGGCTTTTCCAGGGGATTGGATTCATGTCTACTCTCTCTGTTCCTCGGAGCACTGTGGTGGATTGCCTGGTCTGATTAATCTTAATGAATTATGCAAATAGCCTTTATCTCAAATGATTTAGCAATGTTTCTGTATTGTTTTATTAATGCACTTTTGAATTACTCTGTATAATCACGTAGCCTTTCCTCAGCCGTTCCCTGTTTGTAATTCATCCCCAGCTCTTTATTAAATCCATGGTGGTCTCCGGCGAATTGCATGCAGGAATGAGAAATTAGTCATTACTGTAATTTAATGATTTCTAACCAAACAAGAGGCAACCTGGATCGCTAACCATCGCAGCCCTCCTCACTCCTCCCCTTCAGCGCCGGTCCCTCGGGTCTGATCTTCGGGAGCAAGCCTTCTACATTTTTGCTTAATTAATTATGTTTAGTATAAGGAGCATTCTGCGGTGAATGCACTGTTTCAATTACAGACAGAAATTGACTTACAAAATATGAAATTCCCCATAAAGTGGTGGCTTGTTTGGAGTCTAGACACCCTTACAATTGACTAAAGCTTTCTCTGCCTCAGTGTTTGGATTAATGCAAGTTTAGTTTCACTTCCTATTTGTCAAAACCACATTGAACACGGTTACTGGAATTTCTTTAAGCTGTTGTTCTTGCACAGATGGTCTGCTCATGTTTGTCTTAAGAGTCATAAACATGATACCTATAGTGAAAAGTTACATTTCAGAAATGTGACTTATTACCACATCAGAGGAGGGACCTCCATAGTATGTACTGTGTGTCCTGTCCCCAAAGTGTAAATGTCACGTGCCGGTGAAATATAAATACATCTCCCACAGTTCTCAGCCTCCTCACAAACGCCTGCCTCTAACCTGCTTGGTTTCCACAGAGAGGGGGGATGTAGCTGCATGATATCAGTAATAATAGTAACCACAGAATATATGTGTCAAAAATAGATGGATGTTTTATTTGCCCTTGGACCCTTCAGACTGAGAAGGCTGGCATGGTCACTGGGGCTAAATAATCCTTCTCTGTTATGCTTTGGTTTTCTGTCGTTGTCCATTTTCTCCTACTTCCCTACTCAACGCCACCAAGCCTGAATCCCTCAGGTTTATTTTCTTTAAGCTTTCGGTGACATGCACTCCCAGTGCTTCTGGGATTTTTATCTGGTTGAAGCTTATAGGAAATTATTTTGAAAAACAAAAAACAAACAAACAACAACAACAAAAAAATAAATAAAAACAGTATTATTTTGTTGGTGATGGGTAATATAAATCTAATCTACCACAATAACCGGAGGCTTGGATAACAACATCTAGGTTTGGACATGAATCAAACAGGATTAGGGTTGTTTTAGAGTCAGAGCTAATTATCAGTCTCTCCCTGGACCAGATTTCAGATGGCTTTTTGTGAAGTGTGTTCATTTTAAGAAACAGTGCAATGAGATTTTCCTTTTTGTATTTTTGAACATGGCCTATTTTTGCATTTGCTGATTTTTGCATTTCACTTCCATCATGAATACAACCTTAATTAGTTGTCTGCTTCTCTCCTCCTGCTTCTTCTTGAGTTTGACCTGCTAATTTGCAAAGTCCCAACATCTCCTGCCTTAACAGCTTTGTGGCATGATATACAAAGAGCATTAACACTGATTGTAAAAAACCCAATGTTTTCCATATAGTGATATCCATTGAGTTAGATTTATTGAGATAATACTGACATTTGTAATCAGTTGTTGTCACCAGGCTTTGAAAACGACAGATATCATTAAAACATTTTGGCAGAACTCAGCTGTGTTGACCCTTGGTGACTTGTAGTCAAACATCATTACATTTTTTTCTGGGTTTTATTGTTGTGGTATCGTCTTTTGTCTTTGAAAAGAAGACTTGACGTCCTAACAAACTTAAGAAAGCCAAACACTTGATAGTTTCAAATCAACAAAAATGAAACAGAAGAGATATCTGCTCCATAAGGCTAAAAGGAATGAAAATGATCTCACTAGATCTTCAACACAGATATGCATCAAGAGTCCTGGGGTTCTCTGTGGCAAGAAAATAACACAAAAGTTTCACATCACATGGTTTTGTTTTAAGGGTGATTTTTTTTTTTTTTCTTGTGTAACCCGCAGTCTTGAAGTCAATAATTACTTTCATGGTAGAGTCTTCTAGTCCATGGGAATAAAACTATAATACAAAGAGAGATTTGGTGAGCAGTAGAGTTCAGAGACAGCTACTGTTGATGCTGGATCTAAAGTCAGGAATCTTTTTGGATATGTAGTCTTATATGACGCTCCCTGGTCCTTTTCCTTCATTCGTTCAGTGGAATGTCCGTGATTATTGTCCTTGTTGGTCCCTGGTTTCCACCAATCCACAAAACACACGATATCCAAATGTCCTATGGTGTTGGTCAAAGAAATAACGTCTGGTTCCAAACAAGGTTATCCTGGACAACAGACGACTATCGTGTGACCTAGAAAGACAGGGAAAGAAAAAATTAGGTTTAGGAAAAAAAATCATGAATTTGGGTTAAAATAAAGCAGTGGTTCTCATACTTCTTCAGATCAAAGAGTCCTAAACCTGCACAAATTAGACCACGGACTCCCATCTGATAATTATTAGTGTGTGAAAAGTGTTTGAAAAACCAAAATAGTCATACATTCTGTCATTGCGTTACTTTTGGATGGAATTGTAGTGAAAATAATTTATTCCCCTTTTTGCTGAACCAGGGGTCCTTAGGCGGGTTCCTGGGGGTAGCCCAGTACCCCACTTTGAGAGCCCCTGTCTTAAAGTACCTTAATGTCAGAGGACCTTTGTCATGATGGTTACAATAATAAACACATGGTTAAGGTTGTAGAGCGAACACGGTCAAAAGAAACAACGCTGACGATCTGTTTCACACAGGAAACAAACAGTCTCTTGTGTGAAAGTCCCGTGTTTTGTCATGGGCTTTGTGTTATACTATGTCACCTGAACACCTCATAATCGCTATGACCAACAAAGTCGTCTAACAATAAAAAGTAACTGTGGGTCATAATGAGCTGATTGCCCAGATGTACTGCATGCGCTTGTTTTTCACAGGAGGGCATTCTTGTTAAGTACTAATTCTTGAATTAGCTAAATTAAGATGATGAACATTGCAAACAGCATTGGCTAAATCAGCAAGTTAGCATTGTCCTAATGCATATGATAGCATGCTGATGTTAGCAGTCAGCTCAAATCACTGTTGTGCATGGCCACAGACTCTTATTCTTGTTTTCGTCTACGACTGATTGATTAATTGACTATTTCAGCTCTACCTCAATTTGTGGCTTTTTCATTAATTGTTTTGGAGCTGCACATCTAATGGCCCATCTGTCAAAAGTGTGACAAGTTCAATGTGTATATTTCCATCTGGCATGTTTATAATTCAAACATCTGTTGTGTTCTACAGCAGAAGTGGAAAGACAGTGAGCAGCTTGAAGTCAGACATAAAGCAATGTATATCATGCTCAGTGATTTCCATGCAAACAGTGGGAATATTATTATTCATGATGGCATACTGCTGGCATAAGTATTCTCAGACATTTTCATGAATATTAATCTGAGGGATTGAAAAATGCAGTTTGTACAGCTCTCACTTTAAGCATAACTCTAAAAATACTCAGCCAGGTGAATGTTGTTCCTTGTTGGTTTGCCCTTTAAAAGTAGAACACAAGTAACTTTTTGGCTTTCCCTCTTATGTTGAAGAACTACAAAACCAACACACACAGAAACAGACTGTTTGCACATTACTGTCATTCAGTTAGCAGTTGTCGTGGTCTCACCAGTCGAGCCAACAAGGGGTTTACTGCGCACAACCAGTCGACCAAGCAATACAATTCTAATATCTTGTGGAAGTGTGATTTTTGTGCTGCTTGGAGCAGCAGCTGAAGACACTTGACGCTGTTTGGGGAGCCACAATTTAATTTACACTTCTATGTGACAATCCTCAGTAATCATGGGTGTGAGAAAGCATAAAAAAATGATTTGGTCTTGCTACTGTTGCAGCAGCAGGCTGTGGACATACATTCGTGAATTAATTTAAGCCACGTTGTTTGGTCACAACATCATCAGAGGAAAATGGTTTTCATGATGGCCTCCAGCATATTTCTAGTGACAGCAACATTTCAGATCTACTGCTGTGGCACAATATTCAACCCATGAATGCAGTTACAAGCATAGTCATGCTGATTATTGTTATAATGATAATTATGTAATAAGAACAGAAAGTAGGGAACACAATTGCAGGAGCAGCTTTGCAAAGGAATTTCCCCTCATGAGAGACATACGGAAGGGATGAAAGAGTTTAGACACAAATGACAGAATAAAAAATAGGAATAGTACGACCGTTAAACTGTATCATAATTAGTGTATGAATTCTTGAGATACAGCCAACAATGCGTTTTGTAAGGTCGCGGTGACCTTTGACCTCTAACTGCCCAATTCCACTCAGTTCACCCTTAAGTCCAAATGAACATGTGTGCTAGATGTAATGAAAATCCCTCTAGGCATTATATTGTATTCACAAGAACATGAAGTCACAGTGACCTTGAACTTTGACCTTTGCCCGACAAATTCTAACCAGTTCATCTTTGAGTCCAAGTGAATGTTTGCACCAAATCTGAAGAAATAACATCGAAGCGGTCTTGAGGTATCAGATTTAAGATTTAACACCAAAATAGTGTTTTGTGAGGTCACAGTGACCTTGACCTTTGACCTTTGACCACCAAAATCTAATCAGTTCCACCTTGAGTGCAAGTGGGCATTCTTGCCAAATTTACAGAGATTCCCATCAAGAGCTCCCGAGACATTATGGTCAGAAATTCCATCAGATACATGAGAATGGGACAGGCGGTCGTACGTACATTCGGAGGCACGGACCGGACAACTCCAAAAATTAAACTTCATCAAAGCAGTTAGTATACCGCGGTGTTGTGGGTGTCCCTGTGAGGGTAGTCAGAAGGGAAAACACACAAAGGGGAATAAGGAGAACAGGAAGCAGCTCCTGGAGGTTTGATGCGGGATGAAAGACCACACTTGACTGGTCAGCTGAAGGTTCAAAGCCCCATCGACAAACACACTAAGAGCCTACCTTTGATGGAGAGCTACTGAAGCGTATGTGTGAGCACATGGTCATATATGTGTGTATTGCCTACTCATTATTATAAAGCAGTAAAAAAAAAAAAAAACACCTCTGAATCCTGATTGTTTTAGACATTCATTGAAGTATGGTAGGTACTACTCCACTAATGTCTTAATGGGCTATTAAAAAAAAAAAGTCATGAACAGAATAATTTAGCTCCTCTTTCCAGGCTAACCATTGACTTAATGTCTCATTTCCTATTTTTCTGTTTTCTTCAATATAGGGCATAGAAAATTAAACTGACACGACAGCTTGGTTCAATTTCCCTTTGTTTTTACACCATTCTTGATATGTGATTTTATCCAACTTGAAGTATTAATTATTTTTACCTTCTTATCCTGTACATGGCAATCTTGCTAACTTCTTATAGCAACTTAAAACAACAGGGAAGTCAGTTTTCACAAATACCTGTAAGTGAATGTGCTCTTACCTGGTTCCTTTAAATGTAATCAGTTACTTTATATCTACTATTTTATTATTTACCTCAGTATTGTGCTTAGGGTTGGGGTTAGGCATGTGTAAATATGTATGACCTTGCTGCACCTTCTAATTTAGTATATGACAGTAATTCAGTGACAGTTGTTTATCTACTAACTGGAGGTGAGACTGTTTCGTCAAAAGCTGTTTCCAAGGTCAGGAATGTGCTTCAGATTTTAAGTCAACATGGAAGAAAAGTCTTAAGAGTTGTTTTGAACTGTTACACGGTAATTGAGCAAAATCAATCTACTGGTGGAAACCTCCAAATCAGCTACTTAATGGACCATGAGGTGAGATTGAGATTGTTTCGTCAACAGCTGTTTCCAAGGTCGAAAATAAACGTTGAACCTCAACATTTGGCAGCGTCTGTGGGTGGGAAGCCGGTGAAGGATCACTGCATTAGCGATTCTTACTGATTGGCTGGGTCATTATTGCCACTATTCAACCCTGTCTTGTAGAATCAGAATCAGCTTTATTGGCCTAGTATGTGTTCACATATAAGGAATGACTTTGTTCTTTTTACTGCTTGTCATGGTATTTACACACAGAATAAGATAGAAAGTCATACTGCAAGATATTCAAACATAAACACTGAACTACTGTATTATGTACATATGAGTCGCTGAAAAAAATAGATTCCTATATAAATACTGTATACAACAGGCAGCAGTGAACAACAACATACATCCCGTCTATGGACAGGGTTAGGCAACAAAAGCCAAGTCAAGTCACCTTTTCTCTATTAAAGCAGATCATGATCTTTCCCTAACCTTAACCAAGTTCTGTGAGTGTCCAAACATAACATAACATGGACATAATGACAAGTTTAGTAATGCTATAGTCACTGCAAGTGTATACTGCAGGATTGGATATTTTGGCAGAAAACCAAAACGAAAAATTAACAGCGTCAGGTCATAATCTTAATAGTACATATAATTCAGTCACAATTATGTTACCTTGACAACATATTTACTGTTGCAAACTGTATAAAAACAGAATTTATAGGAGACAGGCTTGGTCTGTTGCGTTTGGTAATAACCACACCAAATTGGGAGAATAGTGCAGTCCAATAACTAAATCTCAAGCAGCTCATGAGCATAAAGTATTTTATGGCTAGACTACCATCCTTCATACATATGTTGTGGAGGACATTTTCATTTTCATTATGTCTTAAAAACAAATCTAACTCAGACAGCTATCCATTACCAACCTTCAACACATTCTCTACAAACGTCATAGCACCTGTCAAGCAGAAAGGCTCTGTGGTTCTTTTGCCTTCTGCCTTCTGATTGATAGGAAGTGAAAAGCAGGAGCTGCTGCTGGGGTTATAATTCCTGACATTACCAGCAGGACTATAAAACTAGCTGCTCCCGGACATGCAGAGAAAGAGGGAACAACTGGAGTTGTCCAAGAAGGGGCCTGCAGGGTGTTAAGACGTCTGATTTATTGATGTGACTTCATCATGAGGTGAAACGACACCATCATTTTTTATCAACAACGCCACCGCTGGACATCAAAGAAGAAAGGATTTATAGTACTGTGTGAGGCGTGTGCTGCAGCTGAGGACTTTGTTTACACCTATATTAAGTATCCATTTTTGCCAGGCCATGTTTTGCCATGTCTTACCTGGTAAAATAAAGGTTAAGCAAAATAAAGAAAAAGAGAAATAACATTAAAGTGGTAGTTCAGATTATTTGATGTGGCGTTGTGTGAGGTAGTTATACATAGTAGTAGTGTATTAGTTGTAGTAGATTCAGATCGGCTTGCTCCCAGTTTAGAGAAGCAGACCGGCACAGAAGCTGAGCGATGTGCTGCTGTGGACGGGGTCATACACAACAATGTGGTTTAGCCACTTTTTGTAAAAATGCTCACCGAAATAAGCCAATATCAGTCTTAAGTGTACGCTTCATTTTGAATTTTTTCACCCCTTCAGCCCACTGTCAAACAGCCCTCATGGAACTACATTTTCTCAACTCACTGACCAACGTTATCACAACGCACAAGCGGCGCACACTGTATTACGCTGCAGATCAGCTGTTCAAGTCAGACAGAGCTAAGCGTGAGTGCGCTTGTGCGCATGAATACGGGAGTTCAACGGTCACATGCCTTGAATATTAGTTGTCAGCCGTTTGCATAGAAAGGACTTGGTCTTTGTTATTTATCGGAATGTCCAGATTACTGTCATTTCACTAGTCAGCATTCACAGACTTAACTAACTTGAAATTTGCAAGTTAAGACGTGTGACTTAAAATTGGAATTCACCTAAAGACACTTAACGTAGCTCTGGTAGGCGATATTATATCTAAAAGGAATAAAAAATATATCTCAAATCGACGAAAATCTCTCCATATTTATTATCCTGATTTGGAAACAATGCAGGATGGGTTAGATTTTTTTGACTTCATTTTTCAAGTTATTAAAAAGACGTGTGTCACTTTTCTCAGAAATTTACCTCATTACGCCGACACCACACTTGTGACGCTGAGCTCGATCCTCAGCAGAGCCCTGTCGTTCATTCCCCGGAATGATGTTAACTGTCCAGGAAGCTTGGGTACTAGCATGCACAGGTCCATCCCTTGCTGGCTCTCTGTGGGAGGCAGCGAGGCCACGAGCATGGAGCGACCCCCGCTGACTCCCAAATCAAAAAAAGAGTCGAGGTTCTGACGGGTCCTACTAACCACCTGGACCCCTGCTTGTCTCTGGCTCTGTTTCTGCTTTCCCGTGGCTGTGTGAGAGGGCATGAATTATTAACCCGGCTAAAATAAAAAGCTCTGCTTTGTCCAGGCCTCCTATAGCCATGAATAATGGAAGAGGCAGCTCAACTACAGGCGTTTGGTGAGTCAAATACCAGGCCGTGATGGATGGCTAAGGGCCCACTGTGTCCCCCCCCCCCCCCCCCCCCTCACCTAACATCCAATTCAGGTCTACCACACCCTGAAACCTAAAACACACGTCCAGATAACCTCTATTAATCTCTGGGAGTGCTACAGCTTGAGCCCTCCTGCCCTGTATTGGCACATCCCACTTGACGATTTGGCTTCCTGGAGGGATTTTCGTTTGCTTTTTATTTGTCTGTCCCTTGTCTTTGTTTGCCTTTCTTTTGTTTCTCGCTGGCACTTTTGAAAACATAAGCAAGACCACACTAACTTTTCAAAGGCACGACCCGACTCAAGCGTACTCCCTCTTACCAAGAGGATGAGATGGACACACGTGAGCTGGAGTTTTCCACTTTGAACCGGCAAAGTCACTGGTGCACAGTCATACTGTTTATTACAGATGTGATAATTGATTTTCCATTTGCAAATTTGTCATGTGCTATGTGCATCCCCTATTTCATTTCTCACCTTAACCACCAAGTGAGAAGGGCAAGTCTTATGATGATAATCTTGTTTCTATATTTATGTCATCCATTTACATCTGTTTTTTTTTTTTTTCTGTTCTCAACACAAAGTTTACTTCTGATCTTATTATCGCCAAGAGAATAACTGACATGTTCTTCCAACCCTGTGAAACAGATTTTTGTGAAATTATACAGTAGGTCTATGAAGAAACAAGAGAAAGGTCTTGTTGCATATGTTAATGTGACACATCGTGTATATTCATGATTAATGTTGACACTAAATAAGTTTTCAGTTTTGTAGTTTTAAAACACACATACTTATCTCAGCGTGTCTGTAAGCAATTAATGATTATTGATGAGAGCACTGGCATCATAGAATACATATCAATCTACAGTATATTTTGAAGTGCCCATTAATTGTCAGTTAAATACATGAAATTGCCTGAAAATGACATGGTTTGTCAGTCTACAAATACAAGTTTGACAAAATAATCTTCATGTCATAACAGAACACTGACAAGTGTCGTCAAATGCACAATAAACTGACACTACATTGAGACATGAATATATTCATCTCAGGTCATCCACAAAAGCAAATTAAGTCTTGTACACACTCAACCTCTATATTGTTTTTTTATTAGTTTTGTATTCTTGTGGGAAATGTTTTGACTTACAGGTCATTGAATGTAAAATCTCTATTAACACACCACTTGGAAAAGGACAGAGACCTTCCTTTTCAGACGACCTTGGTCCAGTCGCTTAATCCACACCAGAGTTCGATTCATAGCATTCATATACACCAGATTTTTTGTGCGTTTTTTGTGAGAAAGCTCCCTAAAGGCGTCTTAAAACGTATAGTTTGTTAACTCAGTGGAAGAGTTGGTAAACTGCTGATCTCGTTCATCTGCACTCTAGTATGTAAAGGGAACCTGGCTACGGGAGCCATTTAGCTCAAACTTGTAGAGTAGGCTCTGTAGTCGTGTCAGATTGTTGACAGAACGAATTAACTACTCCAGGTCTGCACGCAAGTATGATCTGCCTAAAACAAATTGTACAAATGGGGGAAACAAACTATGGTCTGATTCAATCAAACTAAACAACGCAGGTTTGAAAACAGAACATCTTGTTTTTATCCTGTTGGCTGCTCCCTCCAAAACTGGACCCAATCATCTGATGGGTTGGTAGATTGCTGAATACCTGCTCTACTTGGCTCAACCAAATTAGCAGCTTAAGTGAAATACAATAAATCGCCTGTAGTAACACTTTCACAACAAAATGCGAGATGTAACTAAATAGATAGTTGAACCCGACTCACCTCCTTCTACTGTTCTAAGCCGATTGCCTCAAGAAACACTTCACTGGCTCTCCCCTGTGAGTCACATTTTCCTCTCCTGCTGCCTCCTACTCTGCTCTCATCTGAAGCCGATAAAGAAAGAAATCTTCTCCAGTGCTCTCCATGGCTCCGATTTCTTTATTTGTTCAAACACCTATCTAGCCCTCCTCCATTATTCTAGGGTCTTTTTTTGTTCCAACTAATAGCTGTGAATTTTGCAGGGTTTTGTTTTGTTTTTGTTTTTTACTCTTAAAAATCTTGGAAATGTGAGTGAATCTGATGAAGTATGATCATTTAAAAATACCTACTGTGTGCCCACAAATATTTTGTCAGTTAAACCCACCTTAGTTGTCTTAACTTTGTTTCCTGTACTGCAGCTCCATCCTTTGAGATCCGGCAGCACTTTACACTCTTCGCCGTCCATGCAGGGATGCATCTGGCACCACCACTTCTGTGCAACTATGGATGCTTTGTGGGGAGAAAAAAATAAGGAAAACAGTATAAGAAAGAAAGAAAGAAAGAAAGAAAAAAGTTACAGGAGGCAATTAACATCATGCTGTTGGAAAGTGTAGCCTGGTTCTGCCCTGGCCGAAGCAACAACAAGTGCCTTCAGTTTCTGTACACTTGATTGAGGAGAGTGCCTTTTGAGCACTGGCGGACAGCAGAGACCCGTCAGGCCTGCCCCGGTGTGTTTTCAGGTCTGAATTACAGGGCGTGGGTCAATGTCAAGCTGGTGAGTGTTGTGAGCAGGCGCATTCAGTGTAAGGAGGGTGGATGTTTGTATGTAGGAGGGGTAATACAGCATGCAGCAGAGGTTGGCGCATCAAGGTCTTAAGTTGCTCCGAGGAGGCCTACAGGGGAGAAACAGCTTCATGAAGTGAAAAGGGAACTGTCAAAATGGAGGAAGCCCCTGTCAGAGTCATTAGAGTGAAAGGAGGAGATAGGGATCGATTCACCTGCAACCGAGGCCACTTTTGACATGATATTAAATGACCTGGCCTTCAGTCTACTCTGCTGAACACAAGGTCTGATACAGTCTCAAAAACAAACAAAGAATGAATGAACTGGTGGGCAGTTTGATTTTTGAAGATTATAAAACCTTTGAGAAACACAGAACAGCAGCTTCATGAAAATCCCAACAGTGTCTTTTTTTTTTCTTCTTTCATACAATAACCCTCTCATACTCAAATAATCACTGAAATAAGCACCAGACACAGTGACAGGTGTGACAGTTTTGAGGCGCGCCGCATTTCTACCCTAATCACAAGTCGGTCTCAAATCATTACCAAAACTGTAATGAGATGCCTGGCGTACCGTCTACACAAGATGGAGCTGCTCTTGTTGTTCCCGCCACCTGTCCAGGAAAGCAGGAGCATTTGACAGTCTGGGATCTCTCTTCGATCTTGTTCTTGTTGCAGCATCGGTGCGCAGCAATTACCTCACAGGTTCCCGCTTTCACATGAACTGGAAGCACAAACATACACAATGGTTAGGGAGCATGTGACGCCTCTCTCCTCAACAGTCATTCCACTTTTCATTCATTTTTTTTTTTTTTTAACAAAACATTATAGCAACAAATAACAGAACAGTTTGTTAAGGCATTAAGTCTCAAACCCATTCCTTCCAAAAAAAAAGATGTAAATATTTTAAAAAACTGGTCACAAACATGTCGTTTCATTTTGAAAAAGGATGAGTGCTGTCTTAAAAAAAAAAAGCAGGGATTGATGCAAAATAAACTATGCTGCCCATTTTAATGGAAATAAAAAAAAAAAACATCCCATGTGGCTCATTGATGCGTTTTTAATTTTTGGTCGACAGTGAAGGTGTATGGTACAGAGGAGTACGTTAAATCAGGCTTTGACAACAGACAATACTTGTTAGTTGGATCAGTTCATTGTTGGTTTTGGTCTTTTCATGGGATTTATTTAAATTCCACTTAAGTACTTGATACACATTTCATACACAATCCTTGAGCAAATATTTTGTATAAAATCGTGACCTTAAAGGAATCGTCAAACATTTTGGGAAACACTCTTATTTGCTTTTCATTGATCGAGTGACACTGTATCTGTGTTAGCCACCACCAGCTGCCTGTTAGCTTAGCTCAGCCCTAAGACTGGAAACAGGGAAACAGCGTTCTGGTCCTGTAAATCTCTCTTATTAAAATGTTGTATCTTATTTGCTTCATCTGTGCAAAAACAGCAGTGTAAAAATAACAGCTTTAGATGTGCTGGCAGACAGATTTTGTTACGTTTGGACAAAGCCAGGCTAGCTGTTTCCCCTTGTCTCAAGCTTAGTGCTAAGCTAAGGAAAGCTAACCGGCAGCTAGCTTTAGCCTCATATTTACCATGCAGATAATAATAGTGGCATCTAACTCTTGAGTGTTATATTTATTATTAAATCTCAGAATGAAGCTGAGAAAAGCCGGGCTGATGCTGAATATATTTGCATGTCATATATATATATATATATATATACACCTTACAGTAAGCTTACTGTTGGTTTTTTTGCACTACATCAGACAAAATAGTGTTGTCATTGATGTTATTGTTGGTATTGTTGTAATCTTTATTAAAAAAAAGGTGAGGGTAATTTTTTTCTCCCCATGGTATCGAAAATGGTATCGAGTATTGAGTATTTTCCTGGGTATCGGGAAATTCTAGTATCGCGACAATGTGTATCAACCATGCAGTAAACAGATCTACTGTACCACCCATTATTAATATGAATCTCCAATGATCGTGATTACAGTTTTCATACAGAGCCTACAGAAATCTTCCTTGCCAACAATTCATGTATTATGCAGGGCTCAAGGAAGCTGTTCATAAAGTATAGAACAGACAGTGCTGAGAAAATGTTCAATACAGATGCATCACTGAGGAAGAGAGATTCTTGTTTTGTGTACTGCGATGCTCACAAAAGCAGGTGGTAAAACTTTAATCCAGTGTATAAATCTAGCGCTACAGAGGGTCGAACAAGGTTTCCTCGGCGGCGTGCCTCCACTCCTCCTTTGGTAGAAAGAAAGCGAGTCCTGTGAGGGCGTTTGAGTAATTTCTCAGCATGGTCTCGTTTCAAACATCCAAACACAATGGCTACTTGAAATCCAGGTCATCCCCCAGGTGGAGGACCTCAGCTTTGAACCCCGGCGTAGCCCCACCTGTCCATGTATCCTTGAGCAACATACTTAATCAAGTGACCCTGCACCCCCAACCTGAGGATGAACAGAGCACTTCTCTTTTGGGATACAGCTAATCAAGTTATATAACAAAAAAAAAATTCCTCTAGAAGATTACTTGATTAACATCGCTAAATTGCTTATTTATGTTAAAGAACATTACAATATCAATTACAAGGACAGTTTTCATAACCACAGTCACAGGCATTAAGCTGGATCAAACATCAATACTGCTCTCCATTTTGTATTCATTACTTTCTGCATAGACTCATCACCATTCTGAGCATGTTTGTGTATTTACACGTAACAATCAGGATTGGATGGGTGGCTGGAAAAAAAATAAAAAATTAAAAAGCAGTGAAAAAAGTTTTTGACATTCCTTTCAGATAAGCCTTAATTATGCCTGCAAAGATTTTCAATTTGGAGCTTGACTTGAAAATAGATTGCAGCGAGCTTCTATCTTCCCATTAGCCACCAATCCAGAAATCTCATCTACAACATTAAAAACATTTTGCTTCCAATCAATAAGGTGCTATTCACATTCCCACAAAAGGCAAGACAACAATTGCCGATTGAGTGCTTTTCACCGAGCAGAAACTTACTGATGCAAAAACAGGTCAGGCTCCATGCCCTTGATGTGATTATCTTTAAGCCACCAGCACGCCCCCCGGTCAAAGTTAATTTCAAAAGTTGGAATAGCTTAGATAGAATATTCAAAGTTTGTTTAAGTGATAGATATGTGTGGACAGTCAGTAATCACAAGAGGTGAGACGAGCAAAGACAATCATTGTAAATCACCTGATTATAAGGGAAAACAAATAACCTGTTTGCTGTCAGTGTCTCTAATGTGCTCACTAATTCTAAGAGGCCAGCATTGCATGTGGAGACTGCAATAAAATATTAATTTTCTATTACTCTTACAATATAATTGAATTAGCTGTAAAAGAAAAAAAAAATAAAGCATCAAGGGACCCGTGTCACACTCAAAGCCTTTAAAACCTCCTCAATCCTGTCGACTAGTCTTGCACAATGATGTGCATCGTTGGCTGTAGTTCTGCTGTATGTACGCCCTCGCTGCTGCGGTGTGAAAAGGAGGAAGGAGAGCTACAGTACAAGCTGCGGCTGAGTCTGGCCTAGGACTCTCAACTCATTAAGGTGCAGGAAGCGGCTGGTTGGAGCTGCCCGTGTGGAGAGAAGTGCTGATTAAAACTGGAGCTGCTCGCCAAGGTCGCTGACTCTGAGGCTGGACCCAGAACCACCATGCAGTGTGGACAGGATGAGAGGTCAGAGACCAGGGCGCGGTGGTCAGCATGAGCAGGTAACGATCCATATGAGAAAAAACAACCATGAACTGTCTTGACTACTGTTGTTGTTATGATGTACTGGGTATGGAAGACGATGGTGAAAAATTATAATGAAGAACATTTTAATAAAAACAAACTTTTTTTTTTTTTTTTAAAGAAAACTATTTATGGCATTTTTTCTTTGCAACAGCCATTCAGTGCATTTACATTCAGCAATTCTCTCTCTACTTAGTAGTTATATTGATAGTAACAGAGTCTGCCATTCCCGTGCTGGATTCAGATTCCCTACCTAAGGGCTTCATTGGAATAATTGGAAATCAATAACTTTTTAGCACTGTTTATATATAAAGATTAAATTCTCAATAATTTGTTATAGAGATAATTAACTGGACTTAAACACACCTACAGGCATGTATATGTGTGGGCAGGTAGGAGGTGGTTCAAGGACACTTCAACACGAACAGTGGGGATGACCAGTGAACCCCTGATTTTGTGGTTGTAAAATGGTCTATCTAACCACCAGGGTCACCCTGTCACCCTGTTCACAGGGTGCACAAACCGGCTCTTTATATAGCGTCACAGAATGTAAGGGTCGTGCAGTGTAACACACATACAGGTGAGGCACGCACGCACACACACACATGGCTGCTACATGGCTCACAACACCTGTGATCAATACATTTCTATTAAAGCACTTGGGACGCCAGGCAACCGCGCCACCAGGAGGGAGAGATGAGTGACAAAGAAAGGTGAAAGGACAGAGACCACTAATGAGAACTGGCATAAGGCCCAACCCTTCAGACAATCAATGCCACTCTGAAGCAAACCACTCCGCTCCACAATGATATTCATTGATCCCTGATTGATAAATGCCAATATGCAGCCAGAACCTGCACAGAGCGGGAGGAGGGAAGAAAAAAGAGGGAAACCATTTGGCTTTTAAGTTCGTTGCTGATCTACACATCTCAACCAAGGCCAGCAAATACTGCTTTAATACCAGCAACCGTGTTCCCTACACATAACTATACCGTAGCTGCCATGTAGGAAGAAAGAATATTTAAAAATTTGATATTGGATTTTGAATCCTGTCATTGAACACAATTCAAGGTTTTACAGTCGTCCAACACTGACGCTCTTCTCTGGGGACAGACCTGATTCATTCATATACACATATTCAGTCTTCTCTGCTCTGTGACAGGTTTGTTTGTGACAGCTGATGTTGAACATCATAAAGGAATCAAGGTGCTGTGAAAGTTGGATTAATCACAAATTTTATAACTGGCTGCTGTTTAAAAAAACAAAGAAGGAAATATGTACTGTCATGAACTGGAGCCAACAGTACAGCTCATGAAAACATAAATGTAATCCGACCAACGAAACGTAGGAGCTACGCTGACTGTGTCTAAATATAATGCTTGATCCCTGCTCCACTGTACTGTATGAATCACGTAAGAACATACACAGCTCTGGTATGTGAAGTGTAACAAGTGCATTAAAACTTAAAGATTGACAATAACTCAACCTCTTGTTGATTAAATTAAACTGGTGGAAAATGATGTTTCTGACAAGCAGTCGGTTTTCCCATTTATAAAGCAACTGTGTATCAAACAAGGCACAGCACTGGCCATTAGTTGGTGGTGAATGGTGAGGAACATCTAAAAGCAGAAAATATAAACCCGTCATTACTTTTATGAGGGTATAGGGCATTTATAAATAACTATGTGAATCCTCTAACACAAAAAAGGAAGAGCTGATGGATGCACTCTCCTTTCAATTTGCTTATTTTACCTGTCACGTCGCCCGATGCACTGTCTTTGACTTCATAACATGTTTGTCATGCTGCAGTTTGCTAATGTGATGACAAGAGGCAGGCAGGAAAAAGAGACAGCGTTTCCCTTGAGTTTATTTATAAAAATGTCTTCATTTGCATTCTTGTATTAGGTGGTCATTTTGTTTTTCACCATGTTTTTATGTTCTATAACGTT